GAGCAGGTAGTCCTCATCCGCAGGAGGCCTCGCATACCCAGGGGACCCAGGCTCCTCCTATATTGTAGCTCCACCACCATCTTCTAGAGTCTTGGAGTCCTCTGCATCAAGCCACAGAAGAAGAGAAAGAAACTTTAGCCACTCTTAAAAGCTCCAGCCTAGAAGTGACACCTCATTTCTGTTCCCATGCCACTGGGGAAAACCAGTCACAGGTGGCCACACCAGGTGACCACACCTGGAAGCAGGCGAGAGGAGAAATGTAGTTCCCTGCTGACAGCCACCCTCCAAAACAGCTCTGTATTATAGAAGAGAGAACACAAAGCTTTGATGGGCAGTTGGCTATCTTTGCCATAACCATAGTAAGTCATGGTTTGCATGACTTATGGCATAAGTCATCTTTGCCATAACCATAGTAAGTCAGAGGTTTCTTGGGGCTCTGCTCTTTATCCATAAAGTAGAAAGCATCACTTGATCATGGCAATGGTTGCACAGCTCTGTGCATTTACTGAAATCATTGAATTATACACTTGCTATGAGGGAGTTTTGTGATATGCAAGTTATACCTCAATTAAGCTGATTTTTTAAATGGGAGGCATCTTGCCCTCTTCTCAGGGTACTTATGAGGACTCAGTGAGTGAAATTTTGCCAGACTGGCACTGCGTGTGTGTGTGTGTTTGCGTGTGTGCATGTGGTGGGGAAGGGGGGTCCCAAAGTAGGCCTGAGTTGGGTTACGCTTTGGGTGTTGTTTTCATGAAAGTGGCACCCAGCTTGAGCCACCTGCCAACAGGAAGTGGTAGATGGTTCGGTCTTGCTTCTTACTTGGGAAACTCTCCCCCCCACTACCGTGGCCCTCCCAGCTTGTGGCGGAAGACCCAGCCCATGGGGCCAGAGCCTTTGTGGTCAGGGCCACGACCACTGCCATGAAGACAGGGTGACACCCTCCTGCCTTCCGCACCCCAGATGGGGAATCGAGGGCCTCCCTCGGGGCCAGTGAGGGCACACACTTGAGTGTAGGTCACGTGGGGTCCCCTGGGGCAGCACAGCCAGCTCGAGTGTGCACGGATGCAGCACCAGCTACACCGGGTGAATGGAGGTTGGCCAGGACCTCTGCTGCCTGGTGCTAGGAAGTTCACGGCCGTCAGGTCCTCGGCTGCTTCTCCAGGTGGAGGCAGTGACAAAGACGAAGGTAAAATACTTTTAGGTCAAGTTCCCCCTGATGCCAGACGTCTATGCCTTCAACCACCAGTGAGGCTGATGTGTCTCACTTCACTCTCTGGGCTCAAGTCCCCACCTGAAAAAGGAGCTGGTCCACCTGCCTCGGGGACTGTTGTGAGGATTGAGTTCATACACGTGGCACACCTGGACTGGTGCCTGGCACCCAGTTGGCTTTCCGCAGGAGCTCCGTGACGGCATGCGCATCCCTGGCTGAGGCTCTATCCTCTTCTGGGTCTCCATTTCCCCACTCAGATACTGAGGGATACGGATGCGATGTTCACACATTCTGACTTGGGGGAAAAAATAATGGTTAAAAGCACCAGCTTTGGAGCCAATGCCAGCAGTAGCTAGATGACCTTGGGCAAGTTATTCAGTCTCTGTGCCTCACTCTCTTCACCCCTAAAATGGGGATAATAATAATACCTACCTCATGGAATTGTGAAAGTGAGATGAGTTTATCCGCCACACAGGGCCTGACGTAGTGAGTACATTTAAGTGTTAGCCCCTGCTATGACTGTTATTATTTTCTTCATCTTATGGATGTGGAAGCTGAGGCCCAGAGAGGTGATGTGACTCATTCAAGGTCACCCAGCTAAACAGTGGCGCACGTTAGGATCAAGGCCAAGCCTGCTGAGCCCCAAGGCCCGTGCCATTTCCATCGTTCCCCACTGCGCCTCTTAAGTCACGTGTGTAGTAACTGGGACGGAGGCAGTGTGTACCTGGGGGGATGACGCAGCCGCAGGGACAGGGTGCGGGTTAATTCCTTGTCTCCTGCTGACACCTTGCAGAGAACAGGCCTGAGGGGAGAGGGAGGTTGAAGGAGCGAGGGGGGGCAATATACAGGATCCCCCAACCTGGACCCTAGGAACCAAGGGAAGGGACAAGGAAGAGTTGAATTTGATGTAATACCAGCCCCCAGGGCGCTCTTGGCCTGTTGATGGGGACAGACAGGGACACACAGCTGAGACCACCGTATTCAACAGAGGCCCTGAGAGAGAGACATACAGACCCTGTCTGAACCCTGGGGCCCCTCAGAGACAGAAATTGGCACCTGGGGCAGCAGGGAAGGCTTCCTGGAGGAGTGGCACCTGAGGATAATGAGATAAGGAGGTGGGGTGTGGGGCAGGGGGCAGCGAAGGCAGGCAGCAGGAATGGCGGAGGGCACTGGAGAGGCGTGTTCAAGCTGTAGAGAGGCAGAGCTGGGCAGTGGTCAGAGCATGGGCTGAGCCTGGGGTGAGGGAGCAGGTGTGCCCCCTACCAAGCCCGGTGCCTGCCCAGGGCAACTCTGAGGCCAAACCAGCAGAGATAAGCCAAGCACCCGACAGTCCCTGGGGGAGGGAGGTGGGGAGGGAAGAAGGGCTTCTAGCAACTTGCGGCTGCCAGTCCAGCTCCCAGGAGATGTGGAAAACGGCCCAAGCTGATCTGACAGGGGCCGAAGCCCGAAGTGGGCGCACTGCCACACGTGTGCACACATGTGCCCACACACGCGCGGCCCGCCCGCCTCGGCAGCCCTTGGGGAGTCCACACACATCAGGAGAAGTAGGTCAGCATAGCAGCCCAGCGCCGGGAACTCTTCCTGGTGGGCAGGGGGAAGAGTTCCAGATGAAGAGGGTGTGCGCTCCTCTGCACCCCTCGGGGTGGGGTGGGGTAGCCCCACACTCCACAGGAACAGCCTTACCTCTCCCGGCTACTTCAGAGCAGGTCGTTCTCACTCGGCGTCCTTTCCCCCCAGCTAGCGGGTGGACATTTGATAAGAAGAGAGAGCTGACCCCTTCCAGCCCTGCAACCAGAGGAAGCCTTGTGGGGAGATGTCACCCCACTTTAGCCCTGCAGCACGAGGGCCCCAGTGCTGTCCAGCCCGGAGCAGGGACTGCCTAGGCTTGACGACGGTGCCAGGCAGGGTTGGGTTCAACACACTGAGGGTGGCGGAGGAAGCAGGGCTGGGTGTCAGTGGGCCTGGCGCCATCCCTCCATCTTCAGGTCTGTGAAATGCGCTGGAGACGCTGAGGACATCGTGTGGGACTTTGGCGGGCTCATGAATGGAGGGGAGGGGCCCGCACGGGGGAGCAGGATCCTGAGGAAGCGGAAGGGGGCAGGAGCCAGAGCAGAGGGGGCGGGGACGGCTCCCTGCCCCGCCAGCCAGCTGGGAGGACGTGCAGATGGAGCTCCGTTTGGGGCTGGGTGGGAGGCAGGAGGTTCCCTCCTCGTGCTCCTCCTCTCCGCGCGAAGTGGGAGGCTGGGTCGTGCCGAGGGGGAAGGGGAGGCAGAAGAGAAGAAGGTTTGGGCCTGGGAGGAGAGCGGCCGGGCCAGGGTGAAGATGCCAGGCTCGCCCCTGACCCCAGCCTCCAGCCGTGCTCAGCAGGCGAGCATGGAGGTCATCCGAGCGAGAACGCGTCCACACCTGACACTGGCAGTGCCTACTGTGCACCAGGCACCAAGCACTTCGCGTCCTTTGACCCTTAGGGAAAAGATACTATTATCCTTTTGCTAAGGCGGGGAAACGAGGCACAAAGAAGTGAAGTCGCTTGCACGATGGCATCCAAATAGCGAGTCATAGAGCCAGGCTTCAAACTCGGCAGTCTGGCTCCAAGTCTGTGCCTTCCCTCAGAGCCGCGGGGTGGTTCTGCAGGGGCGGCGGCTGAGAGCAATGGGTGGTCCACCTGGGGTTGGAGGGAGAAGGCAGTGAGGGCAGAGGAGCTGCAGCAGGAGGCAGCTCCCGAGGGTCCAGCCTAGAGCGGATTCAGCGCTGGCCTCCCCTGCTGGCGCGCACGCAGACACGGACACGCGGACACCTGCTCACAGGGCCTCAGCGCCCTGGTCTAAGCCTCCCCCATTAGACAGACGAGGAATGCAGACTCCAGATGGGCGTTCACTGTCACCCAGCCCTGAACTCTCCCCACTGCAGCTCTCTGCCCCCCTCCCCGGCACCATCTAGAGGCAAACTCAGTACCCCCGACGGGGTAGGTGTATCCAGGAAGGCCTCCCCACCCAGCTCGTGTGAACATTGAAGGGGTCGGTCGGTGAATTTGGAGGGTAGGGGCGAGGGAGGGCGGATCTTTGCAGGACAGGCATTCTGTCCTTGTGTCTGGGGAGCCTGGGTGGGACCCTGGGGCTACAGCTGTGGCTGTGTGTACCTGAGCCAGGCTGTGTGTTGTCCTCTGAGGTTGGGGGAGGGATTAATGCTGTGATGGGGGTGTGGCCACACCTGCACCGCCCTGCCAGACTTTCGTCTGAGACCCCTGCCCTCAGACCTCGTCTGCCCCTCCCCCTGCCTTATTTTCTCTATGGCGCATGTCACCTTTTATCATAATATATCATTCATGGGTTCACTGTGTTTTGTCCATTTCCCCCCTAGGACGTAAGTCCTGTGAGGGTGGGAGTCTGGTCTATGTGTTCAGTGCTTTGTCCCCAGGGCTCCAAACAGCACCTGGCGAACAGCAGGTGCTGATCAGCACTTGTGCACTGGAGCACTCATGTGAACTCAGTATGTGGCGTGTCTTTGTGTGACATAAAAACGTGTGCCTTGCCTGGCACAGTGTCTGGATGATAGCACGAGGCAGGCCAGCGGTACCCAAGTGGGGGCTGGGAGGCAGTGGCTGTGTCTCTGGGGAGTGCTGGCTCAGGCCTGGCCCTGAAGCTTTGGGGGAAAGGTGATGCAGCAAAGATGCCTGTTGCCCCCTCGTGGTCATCTTCGGCCTGGCTTCGGACCCAGCCCTGGGGATCCTGGGCCCTGGGGAGGGAGGAGTAGGCCCTGGCTTGATGTCACACTCCATGCCACACACCAGGGAGAAGATGAGCGTGGGCTGCCCAGAGCCCGAGCCGCCCCACTCCCTGCCCTGCTGTGGGCCAGGGACCGCCCCTGGGCTGGGTGCAGGCGTGCCCCTCCTCACTGAAGACATGCAAGCGCTGACCCTCCGCACGCTGGCCGCAAGCGACGTCACCAAGCACTACGAACTCGTCCGGGAGCTGGGCAAGGGCACCTATGGGAAGGTTGACCTGGTAGCCTACAAGGGCACAGGTGAGTGTCTGCAGGGTGGCCAGCTCTAAGACAGGAGTGGGGACTTGGCTGGGGCTCTCTGTAGGGGCCAGGAGGCCAGCAGGAGGCAGAGTCAGTGGTCCACGTGGAGAGAATGTGGCCTGAAGTGGCCCAGGGAGGAGGGGACCAGGCAGATGGGACAAGGGAGCAATCTCTGGGCAGAGTGCCCAGACTGGAGGGTGGGCTGCTTTGGGGCCATCCAGAGTGCCTTTGGGACAGCCAAGGGGATGCGCCCGGGGACATCTGGAGTCAGGGGAGAGGTCAGGGCTGGCGGTGGTGTCTGGGGAGTCACCAGCATATCGGTGATAGCAGCCCCCAGGGAGGTGGACCGAGCTGAGGGGGGTCCTCGGGAACAGGGCACCATGCTTACAACGGGTGGGAGAGGGCCCTGTGAGGTCAGTGTGGCCGTCTCCATTTCTCAGGTCACTGAGGACTCTGAGACCCAGAGAGATTCAGTCACTCAGCCAAGGTCGTGCAGCTACAGAGGGTGTGAGCTAGGATGAGACCCCAGTAATCAGCTCCAGGGCCTTCTTGCTTAACCCCTGAACTTGATGCCTTCCCCACAGTGTAGGCTCACAGCAGTGCCCACACAGCCAGTCAGGAACAGGGGCTGCATGAGCGCCCACAGCTGCACACAGAGGAGACAGGGACAACAGGAGGAGTACTGGACATGGGGTCACCTGAGCTTTGCTACTTGCTTGCTGTGTGACCTTGGGCAAGTGACTTAACCTCTCTGTGCCTAGGTTTCCTCCTTTGTAAAATAAGGTAGCATTAATGCCCAGCTGAGAGGGTCCTAATGAAGAGTGAGCTGTGCACATGAAGTGCAGAAGGCAGACCTGTGATGTGTAAGTGCTCTGTGGACACACACGTGTGTCACACAGCTATGTACCCAGGTGGCTACAGATGCCTGCTCAAGCTCAGAGTCAGGGACGTGCGCCTTGCAGGTCCTCATCTCTCTGTGTCTAGTGCCTTCTTATTTATTCATCCATTTAAGAAACATCTGTTGAGTACCTGCTATGCATCAGACTGTTCTGTGGGCACTGGAGATACAGCAGCAGACAAGACGAAGGTTCCCTGTACTCAGGGAGCAGCCTTCTAGGTGGGCGAGACAGACAGATAAATAGGTACACAGTACGTCAGGAAGAAAATGAGAGGGTGGAGGAAGCAACAGGCCCTCCTCATCAAGGGCTTCAGGCTGGGCATGGAGGACCCAGGCTGACCCCTGACTTGCTGCATGGCCTTTGACAAGTTCCTTCCCCTCTCTGGGCCTCAGTCTCCTACCTGTGAGATGAGGAGAGTCACACCTGCTGGGGCCATCATCGTGCACTGTGGCTGGGGCAGGCTGTGCAGACAGGCACGGGTGTGTGAGGTGCAGGGGTACAGGGAGAGGGGTCTTCACCACTGTCACTGTCACCTGGCCAGGCACAAAGATGGCACTGAAGTTTGTGAACAAGAGCAAAACTAAGCTGAAGAACTTCCTGCGGGAGGTGAGCATCACCAACAGCCTCTCCTCCAGCCCCTTCATTATCAAGGTCTTCGACGTAGTGTTTGAGACCGAGGACTGCTACGTCTTTGCTCAGGAGTATGCACCTGCCGGGGACCTGTTTGACATCATTCCTCCTCAGGTACATGGGTGGTGGCTGAGGAAGGGGAGACTGTCTTCTGGGTCCCCGGAGTGAGAGTCGAGGAGGAGTCAGGCGCCTCCTGACTTAATCGTTTATTAGGCCCCTACGGTATGTCAGTCACTGTTTGGAGGGCTGGGGATACACAGCAAACAAGACGTCCTGCTCTGGTCCTAGAGGGGGAAACAGACACTCCACAGTCAGCCAGATGATGCACTGAGATGAGGAGCAGCCAGGGTGATGGGATGAAGTCCAGCAGCCCCCTCCTGCAGTTGCATAGCAACAGGCGGGGACCCAAGAGGGGAGGTGGCAGGGCCACCAGAGGAGGTGCCCTGGAGTGGGGAGAGTGCCCGGGGGGACTCCAGGCACCTGGTTTTGCAGTCGGCCAGGGTGAAACTGCTCTGCCGCTCACTGGGTAAGTGACAAGGCCTCGGTGCAAGGGAAACGGGCATGTACCGTGTGCTGCAGAGTTGAGTCGTGCGGGATAGGTCGCTTAGCAAAGCACCTGGCGCAGTGTAGGCGCTCTGGACAGTTGTTGCGGGAAATGCGGGGAAGGTGAGGACAGCGGGAAACCACGGGGCCAGGGAGGGAGCCTGGGATGAGGGAGGGTGGCTGGCACCGGGTCTGCCCAGGAAAGGGACCCGGAGGGAGGTCAGGCGAGCGGTGGCGGGGACGGGAAGGAGAGGACCGGGTTGTGGCCGCCCGGCGCCCCTGATCGGCTCTCCCGTCTGGCCGGCCGCAGGTGGGGCTCCCTGAGGACACGGTGAAGCGCTGTGTGCAGCAGCTGGGCCTGGCGCTGGACTTCATGCACGGCCGGCAGCTGGTGCACCGCGACATCAAGCCCGAGAACGTGCTGCTGTTCGACCGCGAGTGCCGCCGCGTGAAGCTGGCCGACTTCGGCATGACGCGCCGCGTGGGCTGCCGCGTGAAGCGGGTCAGCGGCACCATCCCGTACACGGCGCCCGAGGTGTGCCAGGCGGGCCGCGCCGACGGCTTCGCGGTGGACACGGGTGTGGACGTGTGGGCCTTCGGCGTGCTCATCTTCTGCGTGCTCACCGGCAACTTCCCGTGGGAGGCGGCCTCGGGCGCCGACGCCTTCTTCGAGGAGTTCGTGCGCTGGCAGCGGGGCCGCCTGCCGGGGCTGCCATCGCAGTGGCGCCGCTTCACCGAGCCGGCGCTGCGCATGTTCCAGCGGCTCCTGGCCCTGGAGCCCGAGCGCCGCGGGCCGGCCAAGGAGGTCTTCCGCTTCCTCAAGCACGAGCTCACGTCCGAGCTGCGGCGCCGGCCCTCGCACCGCGCGCGCAAGCCCGCCGGGGACCGCCCGCCGGCCGCGGGGCCGCTGCGCCTCGAGGCGCCCGGGCCGCTCAAGCGGACGGTGCTGACCGAGAGCGGCAGCGGCTCCCGGCCCGCGGCCCCCGCCGTTGGGCCCGGGCCCGGGTCTGCGCCCGTCCCCGTGCCGGTCCCCGTGCCCGAGCCCGGCCTGGCTCCCCCGGGGCCCCCCGGCAGGACCGACGGCCGCCCAGACAAGAGCAAAGGGCAGGTGGTGCTGGCCACGGCCATCGAGATCTGCGTCTGAGCCGCCCCCGCCGCCCTCGGGCCCGGGGCGCCGTGTAGCAGCCAGGCCGGGGCGCGGGAAGACGCCCTGGGCCGAACCGGCCAGCCCCCCGCGGCGGCAGAAGGGAGTAGTGGTAGACGCCCGGCCCGCGGCGGGCTGGTGAGATCGCCACCAAAAGGAGCCAAGCTCCCCAGGCCCGAGGAGCAAGCTCCCCAGGCCCGAGAGGCCCCCTGACACCAGGAGCAAGGGAGCTTGCCGGCAGACTTCCCACACCTCCCTGAACCCTGGAACCCTGACTAGTTGCTCCCGGCCCTTTGCACCCCCTGGCAGATCCTGCAGGCCCACCCCCGGTCCTGCCCTCCCGGCCTCCCCGCCCCCCACCCCCACCCTGGGCACGAAAAGGGGCTGAAGTGCTGGGGCAGAGAAGGGCCTTAGGGCCCCTGGGCACTGGCTGGGAGGAGGGAGATGAGCTGAGGGCGGGGGCGTCGCTCAGCGGCCACCTGCCCCTTTCCTGGGAGGCTGGAGGGGAGGGGCCAGCCCCCCTGCAAAATGTAGCAAATGTCTGGAGGCTGCAGAAGTGTGTATGTGCAGACACAGGGCCCGACTCCCCACCACCCAGTCCCCAGATGAGGACACTGAGCCCCAAAAGGAGGGCAGCCAGCCAAGACCACACAGCCAGAGAGGTGGAGCTCTGGCGGCCCTCCCCTCCCCCACAGGGATTTCAGGACAACTGAAGGGCTCCGGGACCCCTACATCCCTAGGCCAAGGGAGTGAGTGCAGGGCCGGGCCCGCCTGCCCACTGCACCTTCCCCAGGCCCGGGAAACCTCAGATCCTTCTCAGTCCTCCCTGCCCCAGCCCAGACTCAGGGGTCTGGGCTTTTGGCAGGCGGCCAGGTGATCTGTGCCAGGAATCTCTCCCGGGTTTCTGCTGGGGTCTAACATGTCAGCCCGGGGCTGACCCCATCCCCACGTCTCCCAAGTTTCTGGTACTGGGGTGTGGGTGTGAGAATGGGAGGCCCTGGAAGTGGGAGGGGGTGAGTGTGTATTGAATAGGTATGTGTGCAGTGTGAGTGCATGTGGAGTGCACATGTGTGCGTGTAGCCTCGTGTGTTCAGTGGCTGCATCCAGACGCCTCAGTAACTCCACCCCAGGATTCTCAGCGGGCAGCTGCCAGAGGGCTTCCAGGCCTGCGGTTCAGCACACCCCTCAGGGAGCCCAGCAAGGAGGCACCTGCAGGTTGGTTCAGGACCCTAGGCAGCAAAACAGACCAGAGGGACCCAGCCTCACCCAGCACGACTCCACGACCCCCGCCCCCTCCGTGGAGGCCTGGGACCCCGCAATAACCTCAACATGGGTGAGGCTGCTCCCTCTGCCTGGCAGTGCCCCATCCACTGTCCCGGGCCACACCTTCCAGGGTTCCTCCTGGGGTTCTCGGCCATTTGAGGGGGCTCCCTGACAGACCAGGCTGACCAGAGGGGCCCCTCTGGCCTGAAGTCCCCACCTCTCCATTCACCCTCATTCACACCGCGCAAAAGGGCTATAGGTCCCCCTGCCCTGCCCGGGTCCAGTTTACAAACTGTGCGGTTGCCCCAGGGCCTGGCCCCCACCCCTCCTTGGTGTGCCCACCCCTCTTGAGACCCACCTCCCCAGCGGGCATTGGGGCCCTCCACATGCCAGGTAAGTAGCAAACCCCTCCTCCCACCAAGGGCCAAGTCTCAGAGAAGGCCCCCCCATCACTGCCCCCTGCCCACCTGGAGCCCATCTGGGCACCTCTCCCAGCCGCAACTTCTCCTTTTGCCTTAGGCCTCTTGACATCCTGTCTCTCCTGCAATAACAAGGAAGCGAGATTCCAAGTAGATGCCCCTTGCGTGCGCCCTCTCACTCTCTCTCTCTCTCTCTCTCTCTCTCTCTCTCTCTCTCTCTCCCTCTCTCTCTCTCTCTCTCTCTCTGTTAAGATCCTGTCTGAGAGTCTCTCCCTCATAGTATCTAGGATGTTAGAGTGGGGAAGGGATCGTAGTTCTGTAGTCCAGCCCCTGTTTCCGGAGGCACAGAGAAGGGGCAGCAGCGGCCAACAAGGAAGCAGGACTGGAACCGGGTCTGCGCCCTCCCCGTTGGGGCCTTGCTGCCGCTGCCGCCACCACCTCTGCTGGTTGGGCTGGGACCCTGTGCCCCTTAGGAGAGGTGTTGGTCACAGATGTTTACCTCAGTTTATGTCACTGTCGAAGAAAAAATAAACAGCAAAAAATAACATCATAAACATGAAGACTTAGAAGACAAAACAAACAAACAAAAAAAAACCCCTCGCGATTCTTCTGTGAAGGCGTATGTGTGTGTGCGTGTGTGCCTGCATCTCTGTCCTCCCCTGGGCAGGCCGGGTCATCCCTGCCCTCTGTCCCAGCCCTGTGCCCCCCACACTGCCCCCTGTCCTTCGGTGCTTCCCAGAGGCCCCTCTGAGCTGGCCTGTGGGGTGTGGGGAGCCCCTGGAGGGGAGGCAGGGCCACAGGTTAGCTAGAGGGTCTCCCACCAGGCCAGCTGAGCAGAGCCCTAAGGCTGCCACTGCTCCCCGAGCCCACTCTGTGGCCGGCAGGACAGTCATGATGGCTGGCGTCGGCATCCAAGCCTGGCTCAGGGCCTGGGTGGAATCCCAGCCCCAGAGCCCCAGACCCTTATGTTGCCACCGTCCCCCACCATGTGTTTGTAAATACTCTGGCATCCTTTGGCCCTGAGAAGGTTTTTAAATGTGTTATTTACTTCTCTAATCATGACAATTGCTATAAAATAAACAAAAGTTTAGAAAAATTACCACTGGGTGGCTGTCTTGTCTCAGATATGGGGTAGAGAGGGAGGCACACAGAATTACTCTGGAAACCGAAAACTTGACAGATGGGTTAAGGTGGGGTCTGCAGAGTCCAAGCGCAGCTACTCCAGGGCTCCTGCGACCTCTCATGTGACCTAAAGTAGGCCCAGCCCAGGGACTGAGTGTGAAGGGAACAAGGACCCACGTTCTGGGGGAAGAGGCAGGGACTTGTCCCTGGACTGGAGTCCAGCTTTGGCGTGGAGCCCTTCAGACTGGGCAGGAAATAGAAACAGAAAGCCCAGGGGAACAGAGTAGGCGATTCATCCAGCCGCTGCTCAGCAAATGTTTACGGAGTGCATTCTGTGCGCCTGTCTTCCTAGCGGAGCCTGGGGATGCGCCAGTAAACAGGACAGATGGGGCCCCTGTCCTCAGGCAGCCAGCGATCTAATGATGGAGCAGACATTACCCACATGGAAGACTGGGTGCTGGGAAATTACATAACTGAAAAGCTGTTCAAGTTTGGAGGCGGCAGGAGCTCCCTGAAGACGGAGACCAGAGGACTCGGCAGAGTTGTCTGGGCATCGGGCACAGAGGGTGTGAAGAAGCTGATTGGCAGTGGCTGCGGACTCAGAGGCAGCGGGCAAATGGCCGTTCTAAAGCAGGGCAGCTGGGGCCGGCTGTGGAGAGTTTCATGATTCTGCATTCATTCGGCAAATATTTATTAATTACCTACTTGTGTCAATAGAACAATTCTGTTGGCTCTGCCTTCAGACACAGGTCCACCCAGAATCTGAGCTCGCTCACCGCCTGCATTGCTCCCACCGGAAGCCGGCAGCCCTCCTCTGCCTGTTGCCCCTCACTGGTCTCCCAGCTTCCTCTCCTGAGCCTCCTCAGGCTTTTTTCAGAACAGCAACCAAAGTGAGTCCTCCCATAGACAACACCTGTCACTCTGTTGGAAACATTACAAAAGCTCCCTATTTCACCCCAAATCAAAGCTGAAGTCCTTACAGTGGTCTCCAAGGTCCCAGCCCCATCCCCTACTCCACCCCTGTGCTGTCTTCAGGCCATGTTGGCCTCTAGGACAGCCAAGCGCACGCTCCCCTCAGGGACTGTACCCTTGCCTTGGACTCTCCCAAATCTCCCTGGAGCCCCCTGCCTCCCCTCCTTCAGGTCCCTGCTCAAATCTCAGTGGTCGCGGGGGTGGGGGTCTCTCTCTCTCTCTCTCTCTCCCTCTCCCTCTCTCTCTCTCTCTCTCTCTCTGTTAAGATCCTGTCTGAGAGTCTCTCCCTCATAGTATCTAGGATGTTAGAGTGGGGAAGGGATCGTAGTTCTGTAGTCCAGCCCCTGTTTCCGGAGGCACAGAGAAGGGGCAGCAGCAGCCAACAAGGAAGCAGGACTGGAACCGGGTCTGCGCCCTCCCCGTTGGGGCCTTGCTGCCGCTGCCGCCACCACCTCTGCTGGTTGGGCTGGGACCCTGTGCCCCTTAGGAGAGGTGTTGGTCACAGATGTTTACCTCAGTTTATGTCACTGTCGAAGAAAAAATAAACAGCAAAAAATAACATCATAAACATGAAGACTTAGAAGACAAAACAAACAAACAAAAAAAAACCCCTCGCGATTCTTCTGTGAAGGCGTATGTGTGTGTGCGTGTGTGCCTGCATCTCTGTCCTCCCCTGGGCAGGCCGGGTCATCCCTGCCCTCTGTCCCAGCCCTGTGCCCCCCACACTGCCCCCTGTCCTTCGGTGCTTCCCAGAGGCCCCTCTGAGCTGGCCTGTGGGGTGTGGGGAGCCCCTGGAGGGGAGGCAGGGCCACAGGTTAGCTAGAGGGTCTCCCACCAGGCCAGCTGAGCAGAGCCCTAAGGCTGCCACTGCTCCCCGAGCCCACTCTGTGGCCGGCAGGACAGTCATGATGGCTGGCGTCGGCATCCAAGCCTGGCTCAGGGCCTGGGTGGAATCCCAGCCCCAGAGCCCCAGACCCTTATGTTGCCACCGTCCCCCACCATGTGTTTGTAAATACTCTGGCATCCTTTGGCCCTGAGAAGGTTTTTAAATGTGTTATTTACTTCTCTAATCATGACAATTGCTATAAAATAAACAAAAGTTTAGAAAAATTACCACTGGGTGGCTGTCTTGTCTCAGATATGGGGTAGAGAGGGAGGCACACAGAATTACTCTGGAAACCGAAAACTTGACAGATGGGTTAAGGTGGGGTCTGCAGAGTCCAAGCGCAGCTACTCCAGGGCTCCTGCGACCTCTCATGTGACCTAAAGTAGGCCCAGCCCAGGGACTGAGTGTGAAGGGAACAAGGACCCACGTTCTGGGGGAAGAGGCAGGGACTTGTCCCTGGACTGGAGTCCAGCTTTGGCGTGGAGCCCTTCAGACTGGGCAGGAAATAGAAACAGAAAGCCCAGGGGAACAGAGTAGGCGATTCATCCAGCCGCTGCTCAGCAAATGTTTACGGAGTGCATTCTGTGCGCCTGTCTTCCTAGCGGAGCCTGGGGATGCGCCAGTAAACAGGACAGATGGGGCCCCTGTCCTCAGGCAGCCAGCGATCTAATGATGGAGCAGACATTACCCACATGGAAGACTGGGTGCTGGGAAATTACATAACTGAAAAGCTGTTCAAGTTTGGAGGCGGCAGGAGCTCCCTGAAGACGGAGACCAGAGGACTCGGCAGAGTTGTCTGGGCATCGGGCACAGAGGGTGTGAAGAAGCTGATTGGCAGTGGCTGCGGACTCAGAGGCAGCGGGCAAATGGCCGTTCTAAAGCAGGGCAGCTGGGGCCGGCTGTGGAGAGTTTCATGATTCTGCATTCATTCGGCAAATATTTATTAATTACCTACTTGTGTCAATAGAACAATTCTGTTGGCTCTGCCTTCAGACACAGGTCCACCCAGAATCTGAGCTCGCTCACCGCCTGCATTGCTCCCACCGGAAGCCGGCAGCCCTCCTCTGCCTGTTGCCCCTCACTGGTCTCCCAGCTTCCTCTCCTGAGCCTCCTCAGGCTTTTTTCAGAACAGCAACCAAAGTGAGTCCTCCCATAGACAACACCTGTCACTCTGTTGGAAACATTACAAAAGCTCCCTATTTCACCCCAAATCAAAGCTGAAGTCCTTACAGTGGTCTCCAAGGTCCCAGCCCCATCCCCTACTCCACCCCTGTGCTGTCTTCAGGCCATGTTGGCCTCTAGGACAGCCAAGCGCACGCTCCCCTCAGGGACTGTACCCTTGCCTTGGACTCTCCCAAATCTCCCTGGAGCCCCCTGCCTCCCCTCCTTCAGGTCCCTGCTCAAATCTCAGTGGTCGCGGGGGTGGGGGTGGGGGGGTATGGTGGTGTGCTGAATTGGGCGATTGGGATTGACATGTATACACTGATGTGTATAAAATTGATGACTAATAAGAACCTGCAGTATAAAAAAGCAAACAAAAACAACTAATACTAAATTTTCTTTAGGTTATTTGTATGGAAATATGTTAATATAAATGTTTCAGACATTACATGAAATTTCTAAAAATCTTATATGTTCCGGTATAATGTTATAAGTCATAATTCTAGGTATGACTTTAAAAAATGTATATCTCAGAAATAACTAAATTTCCTTGTCAATTGCATCATTATGAGCTTTCATCCAATCTTTACCCGTGATCATTGTTAAGTCTCTTGTCATTTACAGACAGCTCTGGGTGCACTCTGATGCTTTTGCAAAAACGTTCCTGTAAAAGGGTTTCAGCTTCAAGGAATTCATGGAAAAGCCTCTGACAAGTACCGGTTTCTGGTAACTGACTATACGCTGAACTGAATGAATAAGCATTTTCCGAACTCTAATGGAAAACTGATGAATTCATAGAAGTGCTCACAGAAGATCAAGATGAAAAAGAATTAATTACACGGGACTGAGCCAACTGATGAGGATGATTATAATTTTTGTGACTTTCTGTTTGAATAAAAAAAAAATCCGACAAAGACTCAGAGGCAAAACATATACAAATCAATTTTCACTGCAAAGTAAAGGAGCTGCTACAGTGGAGGATTCCTGGACTGAGTGTCAATATTATGACACAGTGTGAGTGTGTTTCGTGTTCGGTAACTGCAATCATTGTTGCTTTGGTTGTGGTCATCCATTTACAATGCTTGGTGTCAGTTTATTTATCTCTTGTAAAAATAAAATACAGTGTGTGTGTGTGAAAAAAAAAAATCTCAATGGTCAGAGACGACTCCCTGCAGCAAATGACCCTCGCCCTGCTTCACTCACCACCGCTTGCAATACCAAGTATTTGTTTGTTCTCCATCTCTCCCCATTAGAACGTAAGTTCCATAAGAGAAGAGTCAGTATTTGGCAAACTGCTACTCTCCTCCCCATCCCCACCTCAATCCTAGTACAGGGCCTGGCACATGACATTCAAGAATTTGTCAAAAAGGGCTTCCCTGGTGGCGCAGTGGTTGAGAGTCCGCCTGCCGATGCAGTGGACGCGGGTTCGTGCCCTGGTCCGGGAAGATCCCACATGCCGCGGAGCAGCTGGGCCCGTGAGCCATGGCCGCTGAGCCCGCGCGTCCGGAGCCTGTGCTCCGCAACGGGAGAGGCCACAGCAGTGAGAGGCCCGCGTACCGCAAAAAAAAAAAAAGAGAGAGAGAGAGAGGGAGGAAAAAATATGAGAAAAAACAAAATCCACCCAGACTAGATCAGAGGGGGAAGGACACCTACGCAAGAATTTGATCAAAACCCTGTCACTTCAAATTATCTGCCGCTTGTCTGAAATCATAAGGGCGGATGCCTGGGGGCAATAATCACTTTATTTAACAGAACATTTTAATGGATTGTTAAGGGACGGAGGGGAAATCTGTGAATGTACAAATATCCCCTCTTTGTAACTCCCAACGTGTCAGAGAATGCCAGGGCTTACCACTAGGGGGCCTTGGTTTTCTGCGCTGTTGCTTCTGTCTGCCTCTCAGCATCACGGCTGAACTCATGCATCCTCCAGGGTGATAAAGCCATCATCCTGCCAGAAC